CCTCGACCTTTAATCGCCAAAATTTAATAGCATCAATCCCCCTAATAAAAAAAACCTCCCTGCAAAATTTCAGAAATTTTCCACATAAAACACAGGAGTTATTAAGCTTCAAAGACGGTAAACAAAACTATGTCCCCATGTACATACAAACATCCATACACATAGAGAAAGCCCCAAATTCTTTTGCATTTCAAGGTGTCCTGAGTTCAAAAATGTAAAAATCTTGGGGGGCATACTTTCCCTTTGTTATATATAACAGCCAGGAAAGTAATTACTAGTTTTTATGTTTTATTTAACAAGTTAGCAATATAAAAAGCTGTTTGTAGCAATTTATTATTCACTTAATGTATAAAAAAAAATGTAATGAAGTAAAAATAGACTAAAAGCTTTGTTATCCTACTTTTTTACTTTAACAAGCATTCATTATACTATTTTTTGATATAAAATGTCTATCATTTGAATTAAGCCAGAAATTAAATTTATTTTGAGTCTAATCTGTTTCTAATAGTATTGTCTCATAGAAATGTTATTGTTTAGATGGAATATATGCTATAACATGGAGATATTGCTAAATATTTTCACATAATTTTACTCATATTAAAGATAAACGTAGAGTTTTATTTGTTATTAGTTAATTAATCTTTTAAAATATTAACAATCTTCATTCCCTATTAGTGCCTTTTACTGTATATTTTAAAATATATATTAGTCAACAATATATTTTCTTGTTAATATTAGAAATAAATTATGAATTTATTCCAGACTATCTACAGTTATAAATGTCATAAGAAATGTTTCCTTCAAATAAATTAAGTTTTTTCTTTCCAAAGAATGTGGGTCAGTTCTAAAATACATACAAAATATTTCTTAGATATTTCGAGAAATCTCAGTTTTAGAATAAATTATTAGCATTTTACAGATTATAACTAGTAATCAGAAATGTAATATTTTATAAAAATTTCTTACTCTATTTCTTTTTATTGTCAGTTAGTATTGTATTTCTAATAAAAAAAAAATTAAAGTACAAAAAAAATGAAAACTAATTCCTATTTGATGCTATAAAGTGTAACTACACAAGTATAATAAAAAAGTGAATACCAGATATTTAGCTCCCCTACTTACGAACATTCAGACTTACAAACAATTTGACCTGTCTAAAGTTTAAATTTTAAGCAAGATCTGAAGTTCTCTTGCTCCTTGTGGGGTGACATTAAAGTCAATCTTTGGCCAGAAATAAATAATTAATTAATGTGGACTTATTTCTATTGCATATCATCATTTTTCATTTTCACATGGATTATGAGCTTCTATTCATGAGATGATATTGAAGTTAGTAACACTGGAGTAACAGCATTTTATCACTGAGTTTTTAAAGATCAAATGTTTTTGGTCATATTCAATAAAGTATTTGTTATTATTAAATATATTAAGATTTTTATTTTGGTCAATATATTAAAATCCTGAGGATTTATAAACATAGGAAAGAATGTCTTAGAAAATATTCACATTCTTATAATTAACTCAGATTTTTAAAATAACTTTGGCCATTTATATTTATTTATCAACTTCTGAATTTTTTGTGATTAATTTCTTATTATTCTTCATCTTATTAATAATAATATGAAATTTTTTAAAGATATAAATGGTACACAGAAAATGTGTTCAATAATTTAGAAAGAATTAATTCTTTCTATAAATTAATAATGTAAACTAAAGTCATAGAAACACAGCTTGTAAGTAGACCCCAAGAATTTTTCAGTTTTCTAACAATATGATTGAAATGCCCACTTCTACAATGATAATTAAACAATAAATCTTTTGGACATGTTTGAAGAATGATAAGAGAAAACGAATGTTAAATAAAACACAACTTTGAAAACAAATTCTGATTATTAAAAAATAAAACATTTGAACTAAAAACTTAAATTTATAAAAATTTAATTATTGTTATTAAATTAAACTCTTGAGATTAAATAAAAAATATCTGTTTGATATTCAAACTTTTCCCTTAATTTCTGTACAGGTGTATTTCACTTTATAATGCTTTATTAATATGGCTCTTTTCAATTATATTCATGTTTACTATTTTCAGTGTTTGCCTTGCTCTTTATTTATTATTTTCACTTTCTCATATTTTTTAGTGCAAGTGCTATAGCACACTTAATAAATGATAGTATAAATAAGTTATATGCATTGACAGGTGAAAAAAGATTAAGGTAATATTTGCTTTATGGTAGTGCTTAATCTGCCATATTAGCAAGGTATGACAATCTTCAGGAATAATGCTTGTGAATGATCAATCTTAATTTTAGCATGTTAATAAGGACATTACATCAGTATTTTTGTTCTCAATTCAGACTTTTCTGATAAATCTCATAGGTCTATGTTGGTCAACTTAATTACAGGTTCTACATAAATATCTTCAATAAATTGCTCAACTGTCACTAAGTGAATGAATGGATCTTACAAATTTGCAGCTATTCATTCATTCTGAATAAATTATGAAGTTTAAGATCTGTATATTAACAATTCATAACACATTTTTATTGTTTCTTAAGCATACACAAAAGATGAGAAGTTATTTAAAAACATGAACTAGTACAGATTATTTTAATTTGCATGTTAATTCATAAAACATTTAACTAAATTTATCAGATTACAATATGGTTGTTAAAATAACTAAGAATCAAATAACAGTTTGGCATAAAAAATTGTTATTCAATTTTTAAACTGTTATAGAATAATAAGTTTTCAATTTTAATACTGGGGAATGAACCTATAACTTTCAAACATGTCCAATTTCTTGAGTTTTTTTTACAGATTTATTAAGAATTAAATAACTTTAATATAAAAACATGACAATACAAGTATGTATTTTTAATGTCCAAGTTATATTGATACCATTAATAATCTATAATTTGACTAGTATATTAACTTATTTACAATTCTAATTTAAAGGATAACAAAAAATGGCAAATTGTTATCTGATTAGTCGTATTAATGTGTCATTTACCAAAGATCTTACACATTTATAGATTATAATGCAAATTATTTTCATTTGGTTAAATATTTCTCTAAATAAGATAATACGAGAATAAGAGAATAGCATCTCAATTTCAGAAATTCTGTTTCTAATTTAATACAAAACTTTAAAATTATGGATTATACATTATGATACTCGATTTATGTGAATTCTACTTATATGCTTTCATAGTAATGTGATGTATGCTGAAATAACACTCGTACGCATTATTTTTCCTATCACCCTTAACACTTGATTTTACCATAGTTAATGTTAAAACATTAACTAGCCATTAAACATTAAATTTTTAGTCAAAATAATTTGTATTAAAATCTACATAGAATATCGTATTAAAAGTTGTTCAAATACATTGCATTAAATGTGATAAAATATATTTATAGTGTCTTTCAAAAATTTCATATTATTTATCTTACTTACTCAAAGAATAATAAAATTTTCAATTACTACAACAATCATGTGTACTTATTATATAAATCAGGTATCATCGATAAACCAATGGCAAAGATAGTAAAACCTCAGCTTGCCGCTCTATTAGTCTATGTTTGAGTCTAAATCAGAACTTAAAATTTTCATGGTAGTATTGACATGTCAGACTCCTTTATGGACTTGCCCAAACACATGACAAACAAGAAAAAAGCCATTATAGTGTTCACAGAGTAGAAAGAATTAAAGAATTAAAAAAAAAACTTAAATATCATTTTGATGTTCGCAACAACAAAATATGTAAAAAGCAGATTAGCAGTATTGATCACAAATTGTACTTTTTGCACTTTTACTCTGTAGCAATACAATGAAATCTATCTAAATTTATCGGGCTGCAGTTTGAAAAAATTTTAGACCTATAAATTTCCACTTTTATCCATCCTTCCTTAATCTCATATTTAATGGCAATGTTATGAAAATTTTCAATTACTAAAGCAACTATTTTATGTCAGTCCTGGCCAACTTATACTGGCATACGATTGACTTTTATGACTTTAAAAACCCAATGATCTACTTCACACCACTGTTCTTTTATACAAGAACAGAGACAATTGATACATAAAATAGTTCTTTGTATCCACGTTATCTTACAGAGAATTACTAACCCATAGCAAACAGTTAAAAGAGATTTCTCAGTAAAAAATATGGATTTAATATTCCTAATCTATTAAAATACATCATGTTTTTTGCATTTTAATGGGCTATATTTTCTGCAATTGGTAAAAATAATGCACCAATTGAATGAACTGTTTTATATCAACTGTGATGTATTCATCAATATATAAAGAATTCATATGTCTTACACTTATATTTTTACACTCTTCCTTCTTTTAGTGTATTTGAAGACTGTAGTGACCCAAAACAATTTTTGAATTAAAAGATTTTGATCATTGGACAGAGGATACAATTTAGAACATTACAGTACACTTATGACTGTTGATGCACTACAAACACTAAATGAAGGAAGAGTGTAAAATTCATCTTATGGTTATTGTTAAAGAAACATTTTATAATTCAGTATAACAATAAGATTCTAATATAAAAGTATAAAATATAACACAAAATGTAATTACTTACTTTTGATAATAATCTATGTAGGCACGAGAACAAAGATTTTTCATTTCATTGGGAGTTGTTTGTTGAGACAGAATTTTATGAAAATATAAGGAAAACTAGCACACAAATAAAAATAATAATTATTATTATTAAAGATAAAATATTACATAAATAAACCTTGCTAATAAATGTTTACCTTTGCTACAAGAGCAGCTTTTAATTTGCACAACCATTGATAAAGAGGAGGAACAGCAACTGGCCGAAACACACTGTGTGAACTTACTTTTTTACCCTAAGTAAACATTTATAAATTACTTTTAATGTTTAAAAAACTAAAAAAATTAATAATTAAATATGAAGCTGTGTGTCAGATCTTTAATTAAAAAAATGAAAAAAATGTCTAGGATATTGTTTTGTCTTATGAATCTAAATAAAATCATTTTCATATTTAATAAATTCTATTTTCTTCAGTATTTTAAGCTTTTCTTGAAATCAGAATTATCAAAAAACATTTTTCCTGCAAAATTCTGAATAAAATACGCTCATTGATAAAAAAAAAGTTACACATCGAGAAAGGAGTATTGGAAATGAATGAAATTTTATTAGAGATGACAGCCTGCAAAAAGCATCATCAGTAGCACAGGATCATATATCATGATTGGTGAGTGGAGTGGATGGACTTTTTTTATGTGCACAATGCATCAGAAAGCAAGTGTCATTTTTAGTTGCATGCAAATGGTTGGGTATGGGAACAATTTTTAAACAAACACTTAGCTAGCCACTTGTAAACTGGAAGTACCCACTGTCTGTACAGTACTGTACATTCCATTTCATTGCTATGAACATGCCGATTAATTTGAGATTTGTCATACTAGTGATTCTATACAAAGTGTTAACATCTATATGTCTTGTTGCTTCTTATTGCATTAGTGCACTTATTCGAGAGATTGTTCCTTACTTTTTAGAAGATTATCTATAAGTCCATAATTTACATATGGCTTTCATAAAAAATATGGAAAATCCATATTGGTTGGAATCTGCTTTATTAGTTCAAACAATGATGATGATGATAAGTACAGGAAATCCTCATTAGTTCAAAATTCAAGGGACAAAATAATCACATCTTCAAATTATCAAGTTACAAATAATCAGAGATTTACATATTTAAGTACAATATGCCAAATGCCACGTAACTTATGTAATTTATTAACAAAATGACATATGACTATATATACAGAATGCTATTTTCATTAATAATCAATAATAATAATAATATAAATAAACCACAGGTAAATAGCATGTGTCCAGTGAGAACCTCACTGATTGCCAGATAGGTTTTATAAAAACTAAAGCAGAATTCCTTAAATTATATTTAAAGCGGCCCATAAAGTAGTAAGTCACCTAAATGTAGTAGCCTAGAGCTCTACAAATATCTCAATCTGCTACTTGTAAAAATTCAGCCATATTTTATGAGATAAGGGATAAAATGAGATAAGGGTGAATGGGAAAGATGACATCCAAAAATGTGTTAGTGTAAAAGCAGTCATATTGACCAGGTTAGAGTTTTCTTGGTCTAGAGTTCTCTTATAGAATGGAGGCAATTCAATCTAAACAAACGAGTTAACATGTGCATATCACGGTTTGGACAGAATTTCAAAGTAGCCATATTTCAAACTAACTGAATTCCTTAATGTGTAAATCTCTATATCCCAGGCCGGGACAAAAGTACAGTTACTAACTAATGGGATTTCAAACTATTCAAGTTCAAATTAACAAGAATTTCTTATGATATAATATCGTAGCAAAGAAACAGTTTCAATTACAATAACAATATAATTTAAAGCAAACCTTTATTACCTTGTAGCATCTCCTCTTGCCTGATATATGCAGAAATATGACTGGGCATGTAAGCAGACACTTTATGATATCCTATTACAGATTTGTCCACAAATGTTCCAACTGGCACTCCAGATCCCTCACACTTACAGATGGCCCATCTGGTCTTATAAATGCTCATAGATGACAAATCTGGAGACTGGGCAGACCAAGCAAGCTTGTAGTGTGACAGAGACATTCCTGGAAACTTAGCTGGGTGCAGCCAAGCATTACCTTGTTATAAAACGACTGTTAACACATGAAAACAGGATTTCCCAAACACACCACTGTCTTATGCCGTTAATCTCCCCTGTACACTACTAGGAATAATCAACTGTCCCCAGACCAACATATTAGCAGTGGGGGCAATGTACCATAGAACAATAAAGGCAAAATTGAAGCTAATCAGTGACTGTTCATCAATGTTCCCTCTAATTTTTTTTGTAGATGAGTGGAACATATACTTCTCTGAGCAAAAAAAATTTTTGCTGAGCAGATTCTGAGCAAAAAATTTTTCTGAGCATATATATATAAAATCTTATTTTTTCCTATAAAAATTAAAATAATTAATTATAAAGTAGAGATTAAAATTCATTTTAAAACATACTTTTATACGAAATATTATCTTTTGTTAATGATTTAATGTATTTAATCGAAATATATGTAGCAATAATCATGTTGCAGACAGAGTGAGAAATAAGTAAACAACAATTCAAATCGGTGTGCATGCTCACCTGCACAGCATGTAAATTCTGGTGCATGGCAACAATTTGAACAGTGCGCGGCCGCGCAGCCACGCAGCTTAGAGGGAACATTGCTGTCTATTCTCAAACAGAACTTGGATTCATTGGTAAAGGGATACAGTGCCAGTCCACAGTAATCCATGCTTTTCTATCACAGCACTACTCAAACAAAACTGATAATATTGAAGTGCTAATGACAGTATACTTAATGGTCATCATGCACACAAATTTGCCATTGTTAGTTGCCTGCTAATGGTATGGAAAGAGACAGGGTTCTGTAACAAGATTCTACCTGTCTCTGGACAGTGAACAAAGATGCAATTGCAGTTGTTCATGCTGACAATGCCTATTCTTTTATAGTTGTGAGATCATTGGTTCATGTCTCTATGAGTGAAATTTAAAATTTTGAAATCAATGAAATTTTTACATAAAATAATTGTACATTACATTGTTTATACAATTTTTCTATTTATTTTCATGAAACATGAACCAGCAATCTTGTAAATATGAGTAAGGTATGCTGCTGTTGAACCTGGCAGTATTTGATGAAAGTTCCACAAAAACTTATCTCACACGTTGCTTAGAAATTTTTATCTTCAATTTTCTTGAAAACATTTGTGAAGTGTATTTTCTCCCACTTACTACATACCAAGGATTACCATACCAAGAGTTTTATTGAAATCTCCGAGGGCCAAATCATAATCTTCCCTTGTAAGACAAATGCAGAGTAAGCTCAAGAAAATAAACCACATAAGATGGTGTCTGAAAGTCTATATTTTCAGTGAGACAACAAAAAGTAGCTTTACTTAGAACAGGTGTACTTTCTTTTTTTAATTTGAGAATACATTCATGAATTAATTTTCCATTCATTTTGAGATCAACAAATGCAGCAAATGCTATGTTGAAATTGAATATTGGTAAAAATGTGTGTTTACATTTTAAAGCAGTAATCAATTTCTTGTTCAATCAAAAGCATAAGACAGAGATTCTGCCAGCCAAAAAGTTCATAGCATCTGATGCAAGTTGAGTTTTCACAAGTTTTACTGCACATTGTATATATTTTAATAACATCTGTTTTAACAGATATTATTAAAATTTTTTACTTACGTTTGCACCACAAGATATAATTGCAAACTAAAGAGAGACAGAGAAACATGGTGAGTCAAAATGATTTGAGATTTCTGGATATTTTCCAAAAATATAATTAGTATTAGAAAAATTCTACATGCAATATTTGAAACAAGAACCCAGAGTTTTGGATTTAATGTGCAAGAATTAGTTTCAACAGCTATCACTAGAGCAAGATGACAAGTAGACTGGAGCATGTTTTTTGTGTTTTGGTACTTCATATATCACAGTCTGTTATTACCATGCAGTGAACATTAAGAAGAAAGTATGGAAAAGATCCTCCTATTGCAAATTCCATTTATAAGTGATACAACAAATTTCAAGAGATTAGATACATTTGTACAAGGAAGAAATCATATATTTTGATGTGTGCCATACAATGCATGGTTTGCACATTAAATTTTCATAAATAAGGTACAAACAAAAATTGTTTCAGTTAGTATTTTAAATAATACAAGTTTTGTATTTTTGTATTCAATAGTTTTTGTTCAATAAATATTACTAATCACTCACATCATTTTGACTTATTCTATATATATATATATATATATAATGACCAATTAATAAAAACAACATATCATTTTATATAAATCATAAATAAATTTTTTTACTATTCTTTATTAGACCAACATCTAAGAAAAACAACCAATTTCTAAAATAGCAATTTGCACATAAACTTAAATATGAACATAACTGAAATAGGCATTAAACTGAAGAATTCATTAAAATATGTAAATAAAATTTACTGAAGCTACAAAATTATCTTTGCGTTCCATTAATACAAACACCAATGACTTCCGAAAACAACTTTCAGTTATGGAGATCACGTTTTATTTGAGACTAAGCCTCCGCAATAATTTTGTAGCTTCAGTAAATTTTATTTATATATTTTAATATAAATACGTCTGCCAAGATTTTATTTTAATGAAGAATTCACCTTTATGTTATAATAAAATTACTAAGTTCAATATAAAATTCAAAATAATAAATTACTATGCCTATTTTATCATTCCACTTACAAAATATTTTAAAAAGATATATTATTTTCATTAAATAATTTTGATAATATCTTACATCCTTATTTGCTGGAGCAGCCCATATACAAAGTTTTGAATGTGCATCATTTAAATGAAGGAGCGATGGAAGAAACTGCCACTGTTGTAAACGTAATTGTGTTTCTAATAATTGTAGAAGTATTTCGCATTCAAGACTGAAAAGTAAATGTATACAAATTAATAATTATTATTATTATTATTACCAAATAACAATTTAAATATTTAAATTAAGTTTAAAATCATCATTACAAAATTAAAAAAGGAAATTTTTATATAAGAACTTTACAGTTGATAAAAAAAAGCATCTTTAATTTATTGAGTTTTTAACTTATCAAAATTAAAATACAAAAATCTTAACTTTAAAAACAAAGTTGAACTAGCAACTATAGATAAGTTGTATTTTTTCTTATTTCATTAAATTAGCAGTGGATAAAGCTGGAGAAATGCCAATATTTTTGGCTTAGTTAAATAATATCTTTAAGCATGAATGGATGTATGATGAATGCAAATGCCAGATACAAAAGATGGGATAGAGTAAACAAGCAAAAAGCTAAGATGATAGTGGATAGTGCAAAGACGAAAGGAGAAAAATTATTACAGGGGAGAATTCATTGTCACTGGTGTTTAAATATGCATTGTTAATATGCAAGGACAAGTATTCTACACCTGACAATTTCTCTTTACTCTTTTGCACCACCCGCTGGTGTCATAGATTCCACTTGCTTGTTTACTCTATCCTATTTTTTTATCTGACACTAACACACTTCTTATATGTAAAAATGGCCTATTAACTAAGTTAAAAATGTTTCACTAACTTCATTTGCTACTAAAGATGTATTACTTATTTTAACCTTAACTAACATGAAGTGATCTGAGATACCATTAAGAAATTTAATTTTTCTGTAATTTTTCTGTTAGCAGAGAAAATTGTCCCTCTCTATACTAAAGGTATATTTAACACTATCTACAAGTTTAAAAGCAATGCACATGATAATCTGTAACAGTTTTTATTTTATTTCAGTTTGTTTTAACAAACAATGTCTAAATTATAAACATAAGTAATGTTAATAAAATACTCCTCAAACCTTTTAACCAGAGTGCTTCTATTTTTAGAATTGCAAATATTTTCGTTGCCCCTCCTGGGGTCTTTCTTCTTCAGGCTTTATCGAATAGGCCGTTACTGTTCAAATAAACATTCGATCTGAATTTCTTCCGAACACTATCATGTGAAATCGTTCCGTAGTTGTATTGCACATGCTCCATAATCATCTCTTTAAACACTGTTATGTTACTAGATTTGTTAAGTGATGTTACTAGATTTTTGATAAGTAATGTTATTAGATTTTTCAACCTGTATGCTTTAGCTGTGCCAAAAAATGTAAAAAGACCATGTAGTTAAGGCATAAAAATAATTTATTTTGTGTAAATAATACATATTCCTAAAGAAAAGGAAAAAAATTAATAATTCTGTTATCAGAACAAAATTCAACTTAATTTTGTATAATCAAACACAAAAGAAATAAAGCTCATTTCTTAGTTTACTCATTTGTATTCATATCTTTCAAATTGAATTAGCCCTTTTAATTAAAAATGTTACAATTCTAAATGCAAGTTAAACGAAGCAGTCTGAGACCACATCATGTTATTTAAAAGAAAAAAAAAGACACTACCACGTTAGTTAAGGGGTTAATGCCAAATTATCAAGCAGCTATTTTTATTACACATTAATTAGTTATGAATCATTAATGTAGTCGAAAAATAGCCCAATAATTTGGCAAATTATTTGGTGTTAATCTTACACTTAACCGTTTAATAAGCAATATTAAACGGTATGATGATATAAAACTGTATTTTTTGTTTGTACCATTATGTTTTTATTTATATAAAAACTAATTTTATGTTAAATGCTTATTAGTAAATAAGAGCAAACATTTGTTGCAATACAGTTGTCATTAATAGATTATATTTATATATACAATTCTTAAACATAACTTGATTTCAATTTTCCATTTAAAAAAAAAAAACATTAACATAAATCATTGTTATTTATCAACACCATGATACCTATTAATCACATATCAATGAGTATATTTAGCATTTTTTTTTAATAAAGATAATTTTTTGTTTTAATTTATGACTCCAAATATTAATAACACCTTTAAGATGACAAATTGCATTTTTATAGGTTTCTTAACCTTTTAATTTTAAATAAACAGTGTGGAGTTTATTTAGAATTAAAAGATTTAAAACTTTTTGTGAAATATAAAAAAATATTTAATGTTTTAATATTTTCAATACTTTTCATTCTATTTTGTTTTCTCAAAAGGTAAATCTTGTCTTCAGAATGAAGCCCTGTTGCTAAGATATAGAGTTCAAAATACCAAAGTGCACAAGTTAAATTTTTTTTCTTAAACAAAGTAATAGTTTGAAAGTAAATTTAAAATATTATAGTATTACTTAACTTTAAAGTGTCAAAAGAAACCTTGTGTATGTCGAATACATATGTTATTATTCACTATAATTTATGTTAATGGTAAAATGTTTTTCTTATCTTATTTATTTATTTTTATAAGGATAATTCTCATATCATATATTTTTTTTTATCAATTTTTATTTCCATGACACTTTTTTTTAGAATCATTTTTAATGTTTCAATATGTTTAACACCAAAACATAAATAAAACTCAACATTTTACATAATTTTCTCATTTTGTGAGTGATGATGCAACAAGATTAATTATATATACATTATTAAATAATTTTAAATTGTATCATAATGAACTTTTTACATTAAATTTATATCCACTAATAACTTAAGTATTTCATTTTAAACAAATGTAGAAGTAAAGGACATTTATTGCCTCGGGTATAAAATTTGAATATTGTTTAATAAAGTGGAGCAAGGTCATAAACTAATCATTCTACANGGTAGTAGCCCCAAGTCTCCATTCGTGCACCAGGGGGTTGCATCTCGATAGCTATAAGTGTGCGGGAGATATGAGGCTGAAAGTGATTGAAACTGGCTTTCTATTTCGAATGTTTTGTTCGAATTTGTTCGAATTAAATTCGAACATAAAATTTGAATATTGTTTCGATTAGTGGAGCAAGGTCATAAACTAATCATTCTACAGGGTCAAGTAGCGGTTTCATTGTTATTAAATAATTTTAAATTGTATCATAATGAACTTTTTACATTAAATTTATATCCACTAATAACTTAAGTATTTCATTTTAAACAAATGTAGAAGTAAAGGACATTTATTGCCTCGGGTATAAAATTTGAATATTGTTTAATAAAGTGGAGCAAGGTCATAAACTAATCATTCTACAGGGTCAAGTAGCGGTTTCATTGTTATTTTCTCAATTTTAATTATATTACTGTAACTAATATCTCAAAATAATAATTCCAGAATTAGAAAAACGTTTTTATGAATTTTTGGATAAATACAAGTTAAAAGAAAGATAATGTTTACCATAAATATATGTAAAATTAACAAATATTTATATCATTTTAAAGTTTTATTACTTTTCTATGAAATAATGATTTATTTTCAAGATTTATAGAAAGCTTTAAACCAGTTTATAGAATATTTTAATTATTTAATCAAGGGTGGACTTTTAGAATTTTTTATTCTTAATTATGGTTAAAATATCGTACCAACTATATTAAATTTAAAATCATTACCAAATAAATAAAATCGGAATGACATAAAAAAATATTTGTAGAGAATTCATTAATAATCATGAAATGATTTATAAAATCTCATCATCAGATTTAAAAATAATTTTTTATTTTAGTAAATTTTGTTGTATTAAATGCATTTTAATAAAATTTGATTTGTATCTGTATTCTTTATTATGACACATTAACCACCATAATTTAGTTTATTATAATTATAAATGGTAAAAATCATTTTTTTTTTCTTAATATAATCCATAATTCTGATACTTGCTAAACTACTTAATTAATCAACATGTATATTGTAATACATATTCAAATATAATCTAAATTTAAAGATCCATTTATGATAATTATAATTTATATCATTCATTTAATCTTGTAGTCCTTGATAATGACAGAATTGTAAATTGTTTGGATCAATTTGTATTTTTTTTAAATAATTTTAACTATAAACTGGCTTTTATTCTTAGATTTATCCTATTTGATGAAAACCGATTATAGCCCTAATTGTCCTTATAAATGATATGTACTTGTAAGAAAGTCATTAAACATTTTATGATATTAGCATTTTTTATAAGCATTTTGTAAAATCATTATATTAGAAGGTATTCTAATAGAAACAGATTGCCAACACAAAAAACTACTTTAGTATTTTTAATGCTATTCATTATGATTTTACATTATATTTAACTAAACAAAATACACTAATTAACTTAGTAATGGTATGAAAAATATTATCCTGTTTTATGAACGTGTTAATTTAAAAAATTTTTAATTTTTCAAGCATTTTGGTTACAATGTGTGAAAATATACTTGCTAAATTTATCAGAATTATAGCTAAAATGATTATCTTTCAGTATTGCTTTTAACTGTAAAAAAGATCTCTCCACTTCTATGGATATTAGTGAAACAAATTTAAGACTAATAATCTGTTCAATTGTCAAATTAGAGAAAAATCTGTTCACTATTAATGCAGTTTGAAATATTACATATACATTTCAAACCAAAATTGTTATTCATACTTGACTTAATTATCAGTGACAGAAAAAATTCTTTTGAATATCATCAATGACTAGATTCATTGCATGTGACAAACAAGTAACATCAGTTTTGGAAATATTTCACATAATAAGTGATTTTTAACATTGTTACAATGCCATTGGTGATCAAAAGTAATAATTTCTCATGAGGAATATCATTCTGGTAGATATCATTTAATGTTTTCCTCACAGCTTGCATAATTCTTGAATGTGTGGTGTATTTTATTGAACTTGAAAATATCAAAAACAGCTTAAAACTTCTCACTTCTGGTGACATAACTACTATTAAAACATTGATAACAATGCCACCTTGTTTGAAGTTTCATTGAAACTTAACCAAATGTTCGTGTCTTTAATACTTTATCTTATCTTCTTGATTGTATCATTATATATTTCACCAGAGTATTTAGATGTAATGTATGTTGATCAAAAAGTTTTTCGTTTAAAATATTTCTCAAGAAAACATTTAAAAATTTTGTTTTTCAATTTGAACAATGTACTGTCAGTTGCATTGAATGGTTTGACTAGACTCTTCTCCTATGTTTTCTTGTTAGACTAAGATAAGATTCAAGAGTAATTTATAATTATTTGAAGAGTTATTTAACTTGATCATGGTGGTGCTAGGTACTGTCATAATGTTGCATAATTTGAACCATTTTAACAAGTTTACCGACTTAGCACAACACAAACAAAACAAAACAGTTCATTTTCTATTAACTTGCACGTCATATCAAAAACTAGGCAAAACTTAAGAAAACATTTATTTAAAAGCTCTAACAAAGATTCTTTCATCTTTAGCATGGTACTGACTTCTTGTTTACAACAAATTGTTTTTGGATATTAGGCACATTTGCAGAATGTCTCTCATATTGTAAGCTGTTTGAAAGTTCTCATTTCATTAAGAATTCATTTCAAAAACTTAATTCATAAAAATAGTGTTTTCAAATTTATAAATTTTGAGAATTTTTGAAAAATATGTTCAAATTATTCACTTATGCTCATATATTCTTGAACAAAGTCTAAATCATTTTATTGTGTCTTGATTTTTCCAACTGCTAACTTAAAAAAATGGTTTATATGTTCCAAAATATCAGCATGTAACATATTACTACTTAAATTAAATTTACTAAATTTTATTTAAAGTTTAATTTTTTAATATATTAAATTTAATACCATGTTTTAACGTTAAATATTTCAAACAAATAATTACTTACCTAAATGAAGTTTTTATAGAGCCAAGATATGGATGATGAAACAATTTCTGAGTTCGAGTAATGATTTCCGATATAAAATTAGCAAGTTCTTCAAATTTCATAAATTGCAAAGAGCTCATATTCCACATTTTCTCATAACTTATAAGTCAAGAAAATAACTGATAGTTGTTAATAAAATCATTAAAAGTCTTAATGGATACAGACATAATGCAAATAAACAATACACATGTTAGTATTTGCTATTTTAACAATTAAAAATACATCATAAACATTGCTTTTAAAAATAAAGAAGAGAAATATTACAAGAAAAAGACAGGTTCTATACAGAAGATGATAAGAACAAATTTAAAATTATTAGAAAAATATAAACATTTAATTCACAGAACCAAAAATAGAATGGTCCAACGGCAATTGCTTTGGTGATACAGCCAGCAAATTTTACTTGATTCAACTAATAATTAAGACAATAAAAAAGTGAGAATTGATAAAAATTATGAAAACTGAAAATTTTTAGTACAGTTTTAAAGAGTATCATCACTAATAACTGATGTCAATATACTTTTGGACCCTCAGAAAGTGATGTACTGTACAGTACATAAATATGAGAAAATGAAAAGTAAATGTAGCAAAAAATCATTATAAATTTTTATTCTGTAATAGTTTATAATCTAGTATTCCTCATTTTTCAGCTATGATTATTTAAAAACATTTATTATACTTTTCAGTTTTGTTTTTCTGTGTTATTTGTCAACATTTTATTCTTTATATTTATATATATACTGCATATAAAATAAATAATGTTAAATTTTCAAAATAATAACTATATATTTATTGATGTTGGTATGGAAAGAGTTGCATGTCTGGGCCACAAGCTAGCCTGGATTAGATAAAAGTATTACATCCAGTCCAGAATGTACAATGTTTAACTATATCTGAAAGTTTTGGTTAAACATTGTACTCTGAAGAAGTGCAATAATTTCTGAATTCATTAAGTAAATATATATATTTTTTATTCTAGCATGTTAGGAATTTTTAAATTGTCCTTCATAAAAGGAACAGAGAAAAACTGTTATTTTAAAATTTAATAATAAATTCTTAATTTTAAAAAATATCATAATTGAAAATGTATAGTTTCACAGTTTCATGTGTCAGAAATTAGAATTTAATAAAAATTAATTTTCAATTCTAAACTCTAGGTTATAAATATTCTAAAATATTCAAAATACAAAAGAAAATTCTTTAAACCAGAATTAAAACAAATTGGAATATTGAAAATCAATGATAGAGGAAAAACTCGCCAGCTGATGGATGAATGAATGGCTACAATGATTACAAATAATTGAAAAATTGATTCAATAAATGTAGGAGCCATTTTCTAAAATTGTATCACCATTTATTTTAAAATGATTAAAATTATTGAAAATTTCTATATTAATTCAGACAGCAGAATTTTGAGCTGACTTACAAGTTTGAATTTATTATCTTGCAGTTTCTTATCTTCTGTGTCTGATATTTGGTAATACAATTTATATCTAATTGATGAATTTCTCTTACATTCTAAATATTTTCAAATTTTTATAATTTATTACTATTAGTTGATAATCTACTACTGACTATTATTTAAAAAACTTGAAAACTTCTGAATTAAAACTTACTAACTGATTTAACCATTTAAAACTGAAATTATTTGTAAAAAAAATATACACACACATTCTCAAGATCCAATAAAAATATTAATTTTATTTATTAAATTTGGTAAAGCAATATATTTTGTTTACTATCAATAAGATTAAATGTTTTTTGTCTTTGACTTTTAAAGAAATTTTTGGAAAATAATGTAAAATATAAGCTAGACATCAACCAAATGCTAAATTCTATCGAGCTTGATATGGCCGAATACTAAACAAATTATGTAACCAATTTGGCACCAGAGGGAAGCGTTAGGGCCATCTCTTATTATCTTTAATAATTATAATTTTTTAATTAGTTAATTAAAATAATTTAGAACCACTGGATGAAAAAATCGGCCCAGAGTAGGACTTGCACGGTAAGCAGGAGTCACAACTCCTGCTTACTGTGCAGATGCATTGCCAGTTACACTATCCAGACCTCCTGTCTGATCGCCTATTCCAGCACTTATAAGCTAATGTTATAACCATTGACAGTTGATGTCTAGCTTATAGTATATTGCAGTGTTTTTCAACCTTCTTGAACAAGCGACCCCTTTACAAGTTAAAAAGTTCTGGCGACCCCCAGGACCATATTAAAACTATGTCAGTGATTTTAAAAAGTACATACGTATTTAAGTTTCTTTCTGTTGAGACCTAAATATCGATCAAAAAACCAATTGTACTGTACAATAAACAGGCAAAGCCTTCTCACTGAGATTGTAGTTTCTTTTATTGTAGTATAGGACCTACAAACACTTGTCCTTTTCTTTTCTTCAAAACCTGCGACCCCCCGTGTAAGGCTTTGCGACCTCCCTGGGGGTCGCGACCCACAGGTTGAAAAACACTGGTATATTGGGTCTAGCAATGTTGTTTATATGTAAAATATAAGGTTACAAGAATGGTACCTGAAAAATGAATTTAACACAGCATAAGATAAAAATGCCAAATATACAACTTTTATACTCTCTTTTAAAAATGTTGATTTCATATCATCCCTACAAACTAATAATAAAAATTTAAATTTTAGTTTTAATATAATAGTTAAGCTAAGTAACTCATTTAAGATTGCAACAATTGCTAAAACAATACTGCTACATTCGTTTTTCACTTCAACATGATTAATTTATTATTTTGATTTGTATTTGAGCTACTGTAGCTAAGACTTTTATAAATGATTTAAGTCTTAGTAATTTTTTATAAACAGTATTCCTAATATGTAACTAAAATTTACTTAAATTTAGTATATGAACAAAGAATAAGAAGAAATAAAAACAATAATTAAAATGGAGAAAATAAGTTAAACATTATTTATTAGTAAAATTTCAGAAAGTACTCAGTTCTTTCTAAAGTTTCGTATAACATAGAAAAAAAAGTTAAATTATTTTTAAAAATTTATTTATAACAGTATGTTATTCTCTGCGGTTAAGTGTCACTAAGCTGGTTATGTATCTAACTCCATTCGGGGGAAAATTTTTGTATTGAAATAACATGACTTGCGATACAAATTGGAAGTTCATATATAGGTAATTTGGTCCTTTTCTCTTGCAATTTCCAAGTCTCAACTTTCATCTATCGAACTCCATTCTTGAGATTAAGAAAGGTCAAAGATGGGCAGACAACTAGAAATTTTTTCAAATTAAGTCCAATAAGTATACTCCACTAACTGAGTGGATAAAACCACTGAACACCAATAGTTGGTTGTGAGTTCACACATGGCCAATGGACTGGCCATGTGGAGTTTTCTGGGTTTTTGCTTTAGTAACATTTCAATTGGGGCCAACTTTACATAAACATCTTTCTGGGATGCATCCTCCTTGGCAGACCACTCACGTGCCACGTTGCTGTAACCAAATAAACCAAATTAATTCTAACAAGCAATTATTTATTGTGACATTGTCACAATGCTGGGCTGCAACTTTTCATCACAATGTTCTCAATTCTTCTAGTGGTGGTCTTGCCCCTGTACATCATACATCATATTTTTCCCGTTAGCAACAGAATTATGTCGGTCATCAATCTAACTCCATTCTGGGGAAACTTTGAATTGAAGTAACATAACTTCTGTTCCAAACCAGAAGTTCATTTATAGTTAATCTGGGCCTCCTGCCCTAAGCTTTCCACGTCTTGTCTCAACTTTCATCTATCTAACTCCTTTCTCAAGATTAATGAAGGACAAACAGAAAGACAGATGGGATGACAGTCAGAATTTATAGGTCTACAAGTTTTTTAAATTGCAGCCCATTAATTTTTCTATAAATGGAATATTTTCAAGACCATACTTCCCATATAGTTTATACAATCTGTTGTCAAAATTTAAACACTTTATCATCACATAAAGGCAATTATTCTCATATTTTTATAAGATTTTTTTTTATTTTATTTTTTATTTTTTTATTTTTATTTTTATTTACAAGTTTTATATCAAGTCTTTTGGACATTAAGGTTAGCAACTTGGATCACATGCAGGGCCATCACAACCTATCCAACACAGCTAACTTTTCAAATATTGATATTAATAATAGACCAGTATTAATTGGTTGTTGACTATCTTCTCATCCAGGAAATGTCACAGACTACTTCGGTCAAATTACTTTGATCCCCTTTCACAACAGTCCCTTCTTTCCATTGAACCAGTGGTATGGATTCAAATAGGAAAATTACATAATTCAATGTTACTGGTGAGCACAAAATATGATTTAAGCAGATTTTGATGGTGCCAAGTTTAAAATATTTAGTCCATTTTTTCGGAAATTTGATTTGTTGGCAGATCACTGTTTGATATTTGGCTGTGAATGGTACAGTTTCTTAAAGTTACAATAGAAAATATTATGATAGCTGAAAAATTTAAGATATATTTTCAATTGGTGTCTACTTGACCAATAAAATTGTGCCATTTCGTACCATCTGAGTATTGCGATAAATGTGACAATGGTAGGCTTAATGTTCATTATATTATACTATTTGATTTATATAACTACAAAGATAATCTTACATAAAGGTTTATAACACCGAGCGACCAATCAAACAATTTTAAAAATTCTTCATTTCTCTACTGTACACAATTTAAAGAATTTTTAAAATGTTAGATTGATCACTCAGTGTGATAAGCCCTTATGTAAGATAACTTTTGTAAATATAAATCACAATACAGTAGAGCATCGATTATCCGAATATCGATCAACCAAAATGTCAATTAACCGAAAGCTTTCTCGTTGGCAAATTTAAATTACTACTAGTGCTGTGACACTGCAATCTTTGGCTATATCTTGGGCTACTCCAATATTATTTTTGTTGGTGTGTGTGTGTTTTAGCTGGCAGCACTGGTGTGACCATGAGAGGGTACTTAAGATTGTGCCAAGATTTGAACAAATTTCAATATGGGATAGGTTAATATATTTTTTCGTACATAATCGGTTATCCAAACAACCTCAATCCCCAATTGATTCGGATAATCAATACTCTACTGTACTATAATATAATATAATAGAAGAATTAGGAGTACAAAATAATTGGATAATCTTAATATTTGCTGTTGTTTTTGCCTGGCAAATCTGGACTCATCTGTTAGTATATATATAGAAATAAATATTTTTTAGATATTGTATAATTTGAAAATAACATAAATTATGGAATTAACTTGCAAAGTAAAATATATAAAATAATAAAGTATATATATATAAAAACCTAAAACTTCAAAAACAAAAATTATTTTGATTTGTATTCTAAACTGAAGTTTATTATATATGATGATCATATATCATATTTAAATAATTAATCTGACCTTTTCTTTTGTCATGAGATAAATATGTATCATATTACTTGAAATAAGAATAATATTAAGTAATAATAATACTCTTATTACAACTAATAAAACATGTAACAGTAATAAATAATATATAGTTTAATTATTTTTAAATTTAAAATAAATTAATAACTTTTCATAAAAATTTAGCACTTTCTTGTGACTTTTGTTTTTGAAATTAATAAGCAAATTTATGTAGGTAGATGTATAAGAAAATGTAATGAAATATTTTCTATATTTTAAAATTTATAAAAATATAAAAAGGATACAATTCCATCATTTCCATTCTTGCAGTAACAAAATGGCATAACTGACCAGATATGTGACCAGCCAATTTTTCCATTTCTTCAAATATTTGAGAATGTACACTAGAACTTGCTATACTTCCATTTCCACTGACATGAGAAGAGTAGCTTCCAATTGAAGGAGTAAGTGATAAAGGTGGGCTTGAAGCTGGAGTTATGCAGGAATTACTTCGATCTTCTAATCGTTGTAAATCAGCCAAAAGTGTTTCAAATATTGATTTTAAAGAACTCTGTAAATTAATAAAAATTAATAAGCTTAATAAATATTTTATGATTATTTCTAGTAAATAAAACCACATATTAGATAGAAATTATATTATATAATCTAAAATTAATTTTAATGCAAATCAATATTTGTGTATATTCTTACAAACAGAATCCCTTCATAATATTACGAAAACAAAAATAAAATAATTTTTTTTTTTCACATGACAAATTATAGACAGACAACTAGGAGCTTTATTTTTGTAATTGAAACAACTATAATGACTTATTAACTCTGCCATTCACCCTTACATTATTATTATCATTTATCACATTCATTTTTACATAAGAAAAAACAGTTGTTAAAAATACATTATGGCTTATTAAACACAAGTANTATATTAAAAGTACATATGTATTTTTTAAAAATAGACTGGTTTTGTGTGAACAACATTACTAACTGAAGAGGGAATGTAAGTTCTGAAATGTATTTTAGTTAATATTTATGCTAATAAAAAGTAATTTTCAATAATAGAATTTTATTGCAACCAAATTTAGATAAATGGTTTAAATATTTGGTTGCTTGTGTTTGATAAGGCCTAATATATTGTTTATAAATGTTTTTCATTTATGTAAAAATGAATGTGAAAATAACTATAAAGACTACTCTGAGATTGATTTTTAGTTGTAAAAATGATACTAAGATTAAAGTAATCTACTAATTTTTAACAAAAACAACGAACATTATTTTTGACAAACACTCAGATTGTAATTACTGAAAAGAAAACTTTATTTTTAATTTTGTGATTTATTGTAATAATTTCTCATGTAAAAAGATGCATAACGACTATGTCAGTTGTTATGCATTTCTGGTCAACTTAAACTACAGAATTAATACTTTAGTTTCTATATATGTATTAAAACTAAGCTATTATATATTATATAATATAATAGTTTAGTTCTAAAAATTTTCAGATCAGATGAAACTTTTAAAAATAAATTTTAATATTGGTTTAAATAATTTTAAATTATCATTACACTACGTTATACAAGTTTATTTCAATATAAAATTAAATTTAGGTTCTTAATTATGATTTTAAATATAACCTTTATGATATAAATATTAATATTAAAGTGAAATTAATGTTGATATAACAGCAAAATTTTTAATATTTTGCTGGTACATCAACTTTAATTTCATTTTTTACAATTGGTTTGTTTTTAAATGCTATGCATTCTGGAATGTAATGTTCAATTCTACAACTTTCTGTTTCCAAACCTGAAGATAATTAATTAAAGACAGTTGAAAGTGTGTTTTTTTTTTGTTTTAATTTTTAAAATATGCTTTTCAAATAAATCTGCTGAGTTAAAAAGTTTAATTTCAGTATTATGATATAACTAGTTTTTGTTCATGATCAATTTTTTACTGTTAACCAATAGTACTTGATAATGTATTATTTAACTGAAACCATAAATTAATTTAATTATTATTTTGATTGAACTGAATATGTTAGACTTACATCTTTCCTCAAGAATCCTTTTGGCACTAAAAATAAAAGCGATGCATAACTTTTCTCAGCAATTGCTAATTGAGCAAGAGTTGATAAAAGATTTAAATATATTGTATTAGCTTGATGACATTTCTGTATGGATTCCTTTTCTTTTTCCTTAAAAAAAAAAAATAAAATGTTTAATAAATATAATTGAATTATTTTATTGAATCAAATTTATACAAATGGATTAGTATACATTTATACAAGGTCTGTTCAAAAAGTATCGGACCTTTGGTCGGCAAAAATAAATTTATTGACTTTGAGGTACAAAACCCTAATCCCCTTCAAAATAGTCTCCTTGGTAATGTATACACTTCTCCCAGCGTTCCTGCCATTGCTGGAAACACTGCTGGAACGCATCTTTTGGAATGGTTATCAGCCGGTCCGTCGCATTTCGCATGATGTCTTCTCTCGACTAAATTTGGGTTCCTTTTAGCGGCATTTTCAGCTTGAGAAATAGCCAAAGGTCACACGGAGCCATGTGGAGAGAGTACGGAGCGTGACGAACCACAGGAGTATTGTGTTTGGCGACGAAAGCCCGAATCAGATGCGCAGAATGGGCGGATGCGTTATCACGATGGAGCTGCCAAGTTTTGATCGACCACAGATCCGGTCGTTTGCGTCGCACTGTATCGGAAAGACGACGAAGGACCTCCTGGTAGTACTCCTTTGCGATGGTTTGGCCTTGTGGTGCGTACTCACGACACACCACCCCACGAGAGTCGAAAAAACTGTCAACATGACCTTTGATATTGCTGCGGACCTGCCGCGCTTTTTTGGCCTCGAGGATCGTCCCCGAAAGCCTGCTGAATCTTGCGAATGGTTTACACTCGGGTATCGCCAAGGTTTTTGGCAAAATTTGATGTAATATCGCTGCTCACGTTGTTCAGTCATTTTCCAGCTTAGTGGAATCCGACGAGAGCGCACTACATGACCTCACTCATAGGTCGATTGCCAACGATTGACGCTTCCTGCAGGCGGGAAAAAATTCAGGGTTGTGCATGACTGTCCTCTCTACAACTCCACCGAAGGAGGCCTCTCGCGCATCATTGGTTTACGCGGAAAAAAAGAAGGTCCGATACTTTTTGAACAGACCTTGTACAATTATAAGACAGAGATATTTATATCATTATATAAATGAATCATAATTAGTTTTATTTGGAATAATTTATTTTTCTTTTATAATCGTAGTTAATACTGTTAAAAGTTAAATTAATACTACTACTAAATTTAAATATTTAAAAAATATTGTTATAGAATTTATTAATTATTACTTTAATATATTAATTTTATATACTGAACTTCAGAATTTAACTGATTTATATTGCATTTTCATATAATTTTGCAGTAGAAAAAAATTAATTTGGGCAGTTGTTAATTGCTAATGTAATTAAAGTAGATAGTTAATTACTCAATACAATTGTTGTCCCAATTTTGTAATTAAATTGCTAGTTAACATGTTTAGTTTCAACTATTGTGTTTTCCTTTTAATTCATTATAATGTTGCCTTCAGTAATCAATTGTACTGTACTAAGCAGAGCAAATATATCTTGATTTTCACAAAGATCGATTCAATTTTTGTCAAAGTCAACAAGTTTGGTTCAACTTTTTTACTTGCTTTTGAGTATTTGGAATTTTTATATTGACAATTGATAAAAGTTGAATTCAAATAAAAACAACCAATCAAGTTTTGATATGTTTTGTCATACACATGGAAGAAATTACATGGTTTGTTATGTACAGTACACGTAAGTATATTTTTAATTTGTTTTGTATTTGCATCAAGTAATCATGTATTACTTTTCTTCTTAAATTAAAATGGTTGACAGGAACCATACCAATTACAACTTACACAATATGATTGTACTGTAATAACCCACTTCTGCCAGAATCCAAACCACTTGTCAAAGCAGTCCTGGAAGTTTTATGATGTCTTTATAGTAGGCTGATCATATGTACCATTTTGAGTGGGACAGTACTTTTTTTGCTCTATCCCAGCCATCCCATTGTTTTATCACTTTTGTCCTGTTTTTTGAAAATCAAGAAAGCTCTCTAGTTTGTATATAAAACATATTTGTATACTGTGTTCTGTGGTGCCATGGTATCGAATAAGCACCTTATCAAATGGTGGAAGTTTTTCAGTTTTTTTTTAATTCCCTGGACACAATTTTACATATCTATGTGTATAAACTGTACAAATCCACCTTTTATGATTGTTTAACATACCATTTCAATTTTACCAGGCTATTTCTACCCTTGGTTGTCTTAAAACAATAACTTTCCATTCATACTTTGTGCTTTGTATACTTTTATTGCATATAATACAAAAGTACTCTAATTATCAAAGTACATGAACAGTAATGTACAGTAGCTGTTTCCATGATAATTATTGATTCCAAGTGTGCTATATATTTCTGCTTCTCATATCAAACCCATGTACTAATGTCTTTGAAAAAGTCTTTAGAAAAATTATGCATGAGCTAGCTGGTGCTACCTAGTGCAGCATCATATCTTGGCATTTGTCATCTCTAGAAAAAAATCCACACCCCATTTCCAAGAGCTGCATGTTTTGAGCACTTTTACATGAAAATCTTAACTCTGGACCTACCCAGTGCACCAATAATCCCCAATATCAATCATTTCTAAGTATTAGATTTACACCATAAACACTAGCTAAATCTGTAAGGAATATTATCAGTGAATCCAATCTATCTAAGTCCAATCAGTGTATTAATTTCAAACAAAGGAATAAAAATAAATTAACTAATGATAAACTTTTGTAAAATTTGTTCATTGACTCATCCAAACACAAGAGTTAAACCACTCTTACACCAATTTACAGATATATTTCATATTCACATTTGGTTGAGTGATTAAATGTAAATTTAAGCTGCAGTAGTTTTGTATCTAAACTTTATCATGCAAGAATAGTTTTCTCTACAAATCACAAGTCTTGCTTAGTATGTAACTACTAGTCTTGTTTAGTATGTAACTACACAATCACAAGTCTTGCTTAGTATGTAACTACACAATCACACATAGAAATCCTTATCTTCAAACTATTAAATATTTGACCTACATTCCAAATTCCTAAAGCAGACATTATCCAACTGATAACCTATTGGATCAAAGTCTGTCATTCCTTAATTTGGCAAACATTCTAATATTGTAGATATTCCACTCCTAAAGTCAACATTCTTTTTACATCAAAGCACTAAAATAATTACTGAATAAACCTGTTTTTCTAGCTGTTCTAACTGCTCAGTATTAAAAATACAACAACACACATTATTGATGTCGATCAATAGGTTTAATATATTAAGAACATTTTTTACCTATTTACAGGTCTTCCTCAGTTAGAAATGTACAGAATTCATATGAAATAATGAACAGAACATATAATTTTATTCAAATTCTGTACATTTCTAACCAAGGAAGGCCTAATGAATAACTTGAAAACATTTTTAATATATTAAATTTATTGCTGGATATCTAAGTGTATATATACAAATATAAACATCTAAATCAGTAGTTATATATTAAAACCAAACAATTATTGGATTACATCTAGAATATAGCCTGATATAATCTGGCAACTGTTTGGCTTTACTACATTGTATTGTTGTATTTTTACTGTCTCTTACACAGTTTTCACAGATATTATTGGCCAATCGGTATCGTTACATAAAATAATCAGCGTAAAATGTGTTTCCAATGATAACAATTTCTCGTCATTAAGTATTGCATCAAAAGTCTATTATCAAAACATCAAATTTACAAATTCCATTACAATTCTCTTGAATTTTCTATTTGTATAATTTCAGTTTACATCGGGAGGAACTTTACAATCTTACAACCCAGTCTACGTCACACTTCCGCTATTTGTAGAAGATCTCGTTCCCGAAAGTTACGGGTCATTTTAAATTTGCACACAGATACTCTAGTTCGTGCGCATTACCTTCTTTTCACCTAGGTCTCGTACTTAGACCGGAAGCTGCTCGTGACGCAGGAGAGATCATAGGATTGTAAAATATAACCCGTACAGGCTACAAAAAACAAAACCGGATAAGATTACACTACGACCTGCCATAAATATAGCATGGAATAAGCATACCGTCAGCTTGTCAAGGATTAAGGATGGCACTTATATGAAGGAAAAAAAAGCACGAAAGGAGCTGATTCAAGCTGTCAACACTTCGCTTTAAACACGAATATGACAATTGAAGAAACGAAACTGTAAAGTCAACTTACAATTAAATCTTTTGCTTTATCGAAAGCAAATTGTCCTAAGAATTGGAAGAACGTTTCTAGAGTCGTATGCTCTTTTATAATTAAATCGTCTATAGCACATTCGGCCATAGTGGACGAATTTATCTTATGTTTCTTCCAACAGTTCATATAATTCTAACAGTTTGGACTCTAAACAACGTTCAGAGACCGACGTTATCTCGATAAGAATAACAATTATTAAACTGATTAAAAATTCTAAAGAATCTCAACAGCTCTAAATTGATTTATTTGTTAAAAATTTAAACTTTTTATTATTAATCAATTTCGTACAAACACAACTCAAGAAACGTATGACAAAACAAAACATATCGTAGCGCCATCTTCCAAATAAAATACGTTTCCTATAACCTAATCGATCCTAAATCTGAATAATTATCAGGTTCTATGGTTAATTGCCGGCATGTTTAATAATTTCTTACGTATGAAAATTTCCGGAAATTTTATTATTATTATTATTATTATTTTTATACATTATTTTTAAGCTTAGATTTTAAAATAATATGGTGAGTTTATACTTAAAAAAAATTAAAAGAAATTCAAATGTAATTTGTCGATTATCTTATGTATTAATACTTATTAAACGCGTTTATATAATTATAAAAATAGTTTTTATAGTTTTCAGGGGAATCCGGACGAGCAATCCCAGAATTTTTCATAAGCGGTAATTCCCGGATATGTCGGACTCCGTCACTCCCATTGCGGTTCTGATAGAATTCACGAAGGATTTGATAAAAAGGTCGACCTAGCGCTCACGGAGCAAAGAGAGAATGAATTTTAATGATGTAAATCAGTACAACAAAAGTAATTTTTGATTCTTTCTTTGTAATGGTGAAAAGAATCAAATAATCGAATCTGTCCCGATGAGAATAAATCGCCGTTCCTCCCGATGGAAACTTGACATGATTTCGTACTGCCATTCTAAACTCCAACGTATACATCTTTATAATGAAAAACAGTATAATTACTTGAATTTATTTTCTTCATTTACATGCAATAATTACAAGAAGTATAACGTTATTTTCTTTTCAAGAACAGAGCAAATGAAATAAGATTTTTATTTTTGTATTGCATTTTATTCCGGAAAATCGCGGTTAGGTAATATCTTTTGCTTCTCAATTTGTATATAGACGGACCACTCTTCAAAAAATTCCTGGGTATTTTTCGACCCGTTTAAATTCGATCCGGATCCCCCAGAGCGGTATGTTGCCACGTTAACCGCTCGGCCATCTAACTGACGATCCACTAACAGGCAAAAAGGCATAACTCTACTTCTGGGCCCCGCACAAACTTTTGATGGCTCCAAATTCACAGATACGTTGTGAGTTGTATAAACTTACTTTTGGCTAAATATAAAAAATTTAGGGTAGTTGCACCAGTGAATGACCGGCTCTAGTGAAGGACCATATTGTCAGAAATTTGTTTAAACAGTTTTCTTTTACGGAACACCTGTCTCGGTGAGTCATTCTGCGCCCACACGACGGTAATGACCGCTCGGCTGTCGGAACGCTCCTCACTGTAATCGGCTTACCTCACACTATGCTATATTTAATGGTATCAAACATGGTTACTAGGGCCTAATTTTTATAAATTTTAATTGTTTTTGATAAAATTAGTAACAAATAACGTTACGCTAATTGTAACTGTGCTTCTTGTAAATGTCTTATATACATAATAAAATAGAGATTTCTTTACAAGAAGCTGTTTAAATGGACTGACGGGTTTCATTAACAAACAAGTACTCAAATAAAACTCAGATAATTAAAATACGAAACAATATACACGAAAATATAGTAAACAAAACACAGAAAGAATCCTCATCTCTGTAATTACATGCATACTTACGTATAATGATATATAGACGTTCGAAGTATGAGCCATTTATTTGCCTAATTGATTAACTCCAAAAAACAAAAAGTAAAGAAATTGATAAAATAATATAGATCTACTTTTGTTTTTTAAATTTAAATTTAAATAAACATTTAGTAGTGTTAAACCTAATTATTAAAAAATTAATTTTAAATATAAAAAGTTAAGCATCATTAAAGTACATTGGCACTAAAATTTAAAAGATTAAATAAGTTAAGTTAATCAATTTCTCCTGTGAACGGTTCATAAGAAGATCCCACTGTATTTCACTAGCTTCATTCAAAGACAAGATGGTCGCGTTGTCATTAATTAAATGAAACAAACTTGTCTCTCAGATTGGATTTCACAAGATCCAAAGGCAAAGGATCAGGTTTTCTGTAAATATTGCAAGTGTAGTGTACGTGAACATTATTCTGATTTAATGAAACATGCTGCTACAAAGAAACCAGTGGCGTGCCGTCCTTAGAAGGGAATACAAGGGAAGCGGCGCTTCCCTTGTTTTTTCTAAGAAAACAATTGCACAATATGTATTTATATTTAAACGTATCTTATTATAAATTTCTTTACGTGTGAAAAAACACGATAAGATTGCTATTGTATATTCGAATATAAATGCGTATATGGATATTCCCAAATGGAAGCTCTGTATTATCGAATACAGAGCTTCCATTCGCGTACGCGCTTTACAGAGCACCAATCTCACGCGGTTTAACTGGTGGATGTTACACACCAAAATATCGTATAACGCTTCCAATGATTCTATCCAGGACCTGTTCCGGGCTGTTAGCCGCCTGCCTGTTAGTTAACAATATAATTAATTTAAATTTCGAGTCTTACATTTAAAACTGTTATTAAAAAAATAATAATAAAACTTAATTTGTTTTATAGTTTGGTAAAACAATCTTTGTAAATCGTATTTTTATTCAACTGTAATGTTAAAGTACCCAGTACATTTCTTATGAATTTAAGTGTCTACATTAAGTGATAATATTTTATTTAATTCTTATATAAATTTTTAATGGCTAAATTCTCTATTTATAGGTGTATTCTTTTATATATATATATATATTTTTTTTTTCTACACAAAACAATGGCGTATTTATAAGGAAGTGAACAAACTCGGGCAAGAAGCGGGTGGCAATATCTAACATCGCCATTCACTACTTAACAACTCCCTGTTGTTTTCCTCTTGCTGAGCTTCCTACAATGGAATTTTCTTCAATTCTAACATCTCAATTTTTAATAATAATAATAAATTTATGTATTATAGCAATTTAAACCCTTAAAAATTTTGAATTAAATCACAAAAGTATTGTGTATATTTATGTATGCGTGTCTTTAGTATATATATATATACATATTTGATGTGTATCATTCTTTATATTGAATAACAAGAGCATAAGAAAGAAAAAAAAAAGACTTTTAGGATTTGAATTTTAAGGATTAATTTAAAGAGCGTTTATTTAATAATTAATTAACTCTTAAAACATAATTACATTTAAAATCCTTATTTATAATTATAAATAATCATTAATTTTCGAATTTTTTTTTAGTATTTAAAATTCACAAAACAGTAAAGAAATGGTTTAAGATATACATTTATATATTTTATTCACAGAAATAAATGGCAATACAGATTTTTTTTTCCTACCATCGTTCGACATTTTGAATTTTTTTTAAGGTTTGATGAGATACTGCTGAATGGACTTGGATAAATTACAATCTGGAATCGGTATACCCTTGTTCTGGACACAATCATCTGCACATTTCGTCTCGTCGAAGTATTTGTGATAAGTTATCTCGCATTGTACACAATTCCTGTAAAGAAAATAAGTGTGAAAAAGTTCGAATTCTTGCCGAAAATTTGTAGACATGTATAAATATATATATACCTTATGCAATCTTTGTAGGCTTTAGTAGAAGGATATCCGGAAGAACAATGGACGAAAAGAAGAAACGTCAATAAAATCCTTACCAGCATTTTGTTTGAAGCGAGTCTGAAACGGAACTAACCGTATGACAAAAGAAACGTGCGCTTATCACGTGTCTTGACGTCACACTTAACCATACATAGGTGTAGAAGTTACAACGCGGAAGTACATTTTTTTATATGGAAAGCGTATAAAATATCTGTATTAATAATTGATAGAGGTTAAATTTACGTGATAGAAATGAGTATAAAAATTTTTACGTGTCTGTAAAGTTTTGAAAGGTGCACAATTTATTGCAATTGTGGTTGATATATGAAACTTCATACTCGATCATGGGACGATTTTATCTGTCTTAAAACTAAGGTTACCATAAAAGTTGAAAGCAAAATACGGACGGATTAGCATTATAAGTACTCGAACAGCGAGACAAAATAAATGGGATTTATTCATATTTTTCAATCAAGTAAACGTAGGAATATAATATAAAGTTTCAATTTTACACTTTCTTTTGGGGTACAGAATGCAATTTTAAATATATAAAAACTATTTCACAGCTTAGTCAAAAAGTACAATCGAATTTACCGTAAGTAAGATACGGACAGAGCCTTTAAAGTACGGAATGTCCGTACTAAATACGGACGTATGGCAACCCTCAAAAATTAAATAAAAAAAATGTATTGGTGTAATTATTTCTCTCCATATTTTCCCTTTCCTGGAAAATTATCTTCACGCTCCCATGGCCTAGTACTGTACGTCACAAATGTATGGCTCTATCCTTCGAGCAGATTTTCCATCATTTATCCAGGGCTGTGGAGTCGCGTAAAAATCTACCGACTCCGACTTCGACCAGGGGCAAACTTGTTACCGAAAGAGACCCGGAAATTCTGATGTCATCACGTGACCTCAGAATAAAAGATTCAATAAATAGAGTTCTAATAAAGATAGAACGTAGAAACTTTTTATTCCAAAGCTAAAAGACTCCTCTAAGTAATGACACAGTCAATATATAAATATGTATTCGATAATTTTTACTTTTCCAGCCGTTATATATAACAGAGGGAAAGTGTAGCACTCGGTCAAAAAATGACCCCGCCCAAATTTTTACATTTTTGGATTCGGGACACCTTGAAATTTCGAGATACGCAAAAGATTCGAGGTTTTTTCTATATGTGTGAATGTTAGACTGTGTGGGGGGCATGATTTTGTTCACCCTGTTTGAAGCCTAATAATTTCTGTGGTCAGAATCGGAGTCAGATGGTTTAACACAGGAGTTAGTTATTAAGCGTCAAAGTGATTGAACTAAATCGTGTCCCCATATACATTCTAACATCTTAGGCGAGAACATCTTAACGGGTTTTACTGTACTATTATAAAATGGCAAAAAAAAAACTTACTTTGAGAGTAGAGACGAGTTTTATTTTATTTTTTTAAATTTCGAACGCTAATAACGAATGAAATATTCATTAAGAGATATGACACATGACCACTTTTATGTCTTCACCCTGTCGACCTTTAATTAAGAACCAAAATTTAATAGCATTAATGCCCCTTTATACGCAAGCTACAGTGCCACATTTCGTTTCTTAAACTTTACCCATTCTGAGATATGGTTTAATATCTCAGAACAGAAAACAAAGAAATTAAACAAATTAGACGCCAACACACAAGCGCGCGCGAATTTTTCCCCTTTATTGACTTTTTCAGGGGTTCGGGAGGTCTCCAAGCGTGTAATTTGCAAGTTGGTAAGTAAAAAGGAGTCGGAGTCGGCGGATATTTTGACGACTACCACTCCACAGCCCTGCATTTATCACAAGAAATTTTACTTTGACTTTGATCTTTCTTTACAAAGAGAACTTCCATATCGGGAGACCATCTTGGCCTGTTATTCTATATGCAAAATACACTCTTAAACCTCGTTATTTGTAATGAAATTTTTAAAATGCTGTTTCAATTAAAAATGGCAGATGGTATTACACACTTTAAAAACTTTATGATCGGAGAAGACTTAGCATATTCTTTAAAAATTATATATACATAAAAAAATATTGAGTTCTAGAAGCCCTATTTATTTAGTATTGTTCCATAAGAAACAAGGATAAAAATAAATAAAATGCTTTCCTGTGTAGTCTTCCTATACCTTTCTGTAAACAAAGCATAGTATCAGCATCAAATAGCTATTTCATGCAACATGGTAACTTTTTCATTATTATTTGTCTCTATTTTATTAGATTGAGACAGAAAGGGTCCCACCAAAATTTATATTTAAAGTCGGAGAAGGTCCCATGATAATGTCATAAAGTGCTTTCATGATAAGACTACACAGATTAATTGCTATTATTTGCCAAATTCAAATGTTAATAAATTCTTCTATACATAAATTAGCATGTATATTTTTAAAATGATACACATTTTACACTATTATGATTTTAAGAAATTAGATCATTCTCAAGATTCATGTCTTAATACTATTATACTTAAATATTTATATAATGTAAGAACTAATGAATCAGAAATCCCAAATTGAAAAAAATTTAAATCAATAGGTATATATAGAAAAAAATAAAGCAAAATATTAGTTTAGTGGCTATATTTTTTAAATGAACACTAGCATTTTGTTGTTTATATAAATTTGTCTTCATTTATATATAATACAGTAAATTTAAACAATTTATTCTCATGTTTCTGAATTAAAACAGAGATGCTCCTTAAATGTGAGGTGCTTCTCAATTTCCAGCAATTCTTTATCACTTCCAAAAGTCTGTATGTAATGATAATTTTATAGCATTTCCTGTTCTATATTTTCTGTTTGTTACATTACATTATTTTAAATTATATTATTAAGTTCTACTTTTCTATATTTTTAAACTATATTTATTAATTTTTTCCCCCGAAAATCCTAATTTAAGGGAGTTTAATCTTGAATTCAAAGCCATAGGATACTTTTAAGTACTTGTATGTATATATCTATATAAAAAAAACACAAGACATACAAAAAATGAATACAAATATTTTATTTTGAATATCCTCAAAACTTAGACAAGAATTTTTCTGAATATTCTTAAAAAATAGTTCTTGTTTTACACATTTCGTTATTCTACATTTGAGTTTACTTTAAATAATTTGATGAAAAAAATTTCCTGTTAACATAGCATTAGCTTGAGAAGGCACTGAATTATTTGCAATAATTATTACAATGTTATTTTTATTATTATTACTATTAAATAAAGAAATGTGTAATAACAATTTATCAAACTTTTTTGTTTTTTGAATGTTAAAATAAATTCTTGTACTGTTTTAAGCGTTGATAAAATTTCAATATTTAAGTAACGTATCAAGAACGAGTCAAATGAATTTATAAAATGAAATGGGACTAAGAAAATATATAAATGATTAAAAATAACATATAACTATAAAATAAATATTCATTACTTTAAAAATTATATATGACTTTTTAATGTTGTAAATAAACTTGATAAATCAAATCTTTAATTCATTTTTAAGTTCCACTGATCAAAAATTAAACTAAATATAATTAAAAACTAATAAAATATAATGTAGTTATTGTAAATAGTTCAGCTTGCTATATTAGCCATAGAATTATGTTAAACAAAATTTTGACAATTTATAATAAATGGCAACAATATCTAATACACTTAACTTCAAATTACTAATAAACTAACATAATTACTAATTTTAAGTACAGTACATCTTTTTCTTTTTTATTTTCCACTCCTTTTGGAACTTTATCTTCTTTAATTCATAAAATGACGACTTCAGTATATCACTCAACCAACCACACACAACATTACACAGCAGCATAAATGTTTATTTAACATTAAACTAGCATTTTTGCTCATATTTAATGACCTCCTTCTGGTTTTCTACTCAAAAATCAAACACTTTACTAAAAGCTAATGGAAAAAAATAGAAAAAAATTACAGTAGGACATCAATTATTTGAAACAATTTGGGACTGGGGTTGTTTGGATAACTGATCATTTATGAAAAAAATATATTAAAAACAAAACTGTATTTGTAAGACGTGTGATACAAAATATATACAATATTTTCTATCACACGTCTTACAAATACAGAATATTGTATATATTTTGTGATACAAAATATATACAATATTTTGTATCACACGTTGCATAAAGTAGTACATTAAAGTAGGCCTACAGTTTAGGTTGGCAGGAAGGGAAAGTGCTGCAGTGCTACAGCATTAGCGGAAATTTGAATTTGCCTACTGGAACACTTTCAGTTAACCGATGTTTTGGTTGATTGGTATTCGGATAATCGATACTCTACCGTATCTTGTGTTTGGCAGTCCCAGGTTTTTTTGTTCTATTCTCTGTTAGCTTTTGTAAAATGTTTGCTTTTTGAATAACAAACCTTAAGGAGGTCATTAAATATGACCAAAAACATTAGTTTAATGTTTAATAAACATTTTTGCTGCTATAAATGGTTGATGAGTGATTGTATCTTTCCAGCAAAAGGTGAGATTCTTCAACCAGAATCTATTCAAAATACTTATATTGTGCCAAAATAACTCCTACATTTTCATATTTATGATTAATCAGGAACTTTAAGATTTTCATTATCAATTTTAACGATAAAAATGAGATCTATATCTACATATAGTTTTAATCAATATGATACATGATTAAGATCATATTAAAAATATTACTATGATGAAACTATGAAAAATTTTCATTTGACTCTTCTTGCAATAACAAAAATCAATAAATAATATTTTCTAAAACTTAAAAATTTTGCTTCAGATCCTGCTTTAATTTGAGATTATATTAAAAAAAAATACAAATAGCATTTTTCGGAGATGATATGCATTATACGTGGATCGTACGTAATGGAAATATCTTCTGCATCTCTCAACATATAAGCCTATGAAGTTTCATATACAGAAATTATTTATATGTATATATATATACTTGATAAAATGTTTATACTAATATTTTACATATTCAAAATAGATCACAGATATCAGCAAGCAACTGCATAAAGGATAGCCATTACGGCAGCGGACAATCCACACGTTACTGGTAATGTTAGCACCCAAGCGAGAATTATGTTGCCAAATAAGCGCCAATCTACTCCTTGTTTCGAACGAATCCATCCGACAAACACAATGGAGCCCACTTTACAGTGTGTTGAGCTAACTGGCAACCCAATTTTCGATGCTAAAAGTACTGTTGTTGCTGCTCCAATTTCAATGGTAAAGCCACTGCAAAATAGATAATAAAATAAAATAATAATGCATTTGAGTCATATACATATTTAATAAAAACTGCTTTCAATTTTTATGAAAAAATTTTAAATCTTTATGGGGTTTTTAAAGTAATCTATAAAAATGAATGTAGAAAAGTGTATGTAAGATTGTGTATTCAAGAACAATGCAATGAAATTGGAAGTTTGGATAAAAATTTCATAAACATCATTATTTCTTGAAACAGCAATTTCATATTTGCTTTCCAGAATAATACAAATAAACAAATAACAAATTTATCAATATTGGCACTTGAACTGGAGGAGTAATAAGAGGGAAAGCAAAGATTGTAAATGTAAACAAATATAAATGAAATGTGTTACAGATGTAAGAAGGAAAAAGAAAATTGGGGAGTGAACAGGAAAGTAATGCCTAAAAATTAGGATATACCTGGTATAAAATTACATAAGAAAGAAGTTTCTTTCTGTAGGAAAATAACTACAAAATGTTTATGAATATCAACTTCATAAGATATATTAAATTATATAAAATAAAAACTTTCACTCTTTAGCTTAAATTATCTAATTTTAATGCAAAAATAACTAAAAAAAAAATAGAAAGAAAATTACCTAGAAGGTGTAATTTTAGTTAAATCTTCTCCTAAAGTTTTAATAACTCTTCTTCCCCACACCCAGAGTCCAATACTAATACCTATACCACCATATAGTAAAATAAGAATAGGTGTTGACGATTTCTGATGAACTTCTCCTTCAGCATAAATCATCCAGATGGCTACAACTGGCCCCACTGCGTTACTATAAAAGAAATTGAAAACTTTTAATATATTTTGATATGCTAAAAAAAAATTTGAAATATATTTATAATTTAATTATATTTGTTTTATACCTAACGTCATTGCCTCCGTGAGCAAATGAACCAAATACTGCCGTTAATATTTGTAAAAGAGAGAATAATTTGGAAACTTCAGGTTTGTCTTCTTCGGATTTCGATTCTAATGGAAGTGTCATACTCTGTTGGTCCTTTTATAAACAAAGAGTTAAGAGAAAATTAATTACTTCTTACATCTTTACAGATGATTTAAGAATACAAAACATATAAAATAACTTTCCAAATTTTTGTGATAATCCTTTGAAGATGAACAAGAAAAAATATTCATATATTCAATTTATCAGTTAATTATTTAAAATATATAACTTTTAATTTTTATAGTTTAAAAATTGTTATTTTGAAATAATTAACAGAATTCAGTTATAAAAATCATCCTTAAACACATACAAAATGTGTAAACGGGTACCTTTATTTTTTAATGTTAGTTTACATTTGATATGGCATGAATTTAAAACAAAACTTTCAATTTAGATTTTTTTTTTGTCAATCATCATGATTTTTATATTGCAGAATCTCTTGTTTCCCTTCATGGAAGCTCAAAGTTCCATGGAATGTAGTTTAGCATACACCACCTTGAAAGTTTTAATTTGTTGTTCATGACTTTGTCTTTAGAACATTTTTAAATACAAGTGTTATGTTTACCAAAAATTCAAAGTTTGTTTGTTAGAGACTGTGTTTCTTTCATTAATAATTTAATTTAATAAAATAGCATTTGCTCAAATGATATGATACGAATGAAACTGTATATAGTTATATAAAATGTGTACTTCTGCACTCTAAATTAGTTTATTTTAGAGTGAATTTAATCAATGATTATGATGTATTTCATCTGAATTTTAAAAAATGATGATGAGAATTATTTTTTCCTGTCCAAAAAACAATTAACTTACATCAGACATTTTAATAAATGTAATTTCAGTTTTTCCTTGAACCAAAGAATTACTTGAATTAGTAGAAGCATAGCCTAAAAATATAAAATAATGAAATGTATATAAAACTGATATCATATAAATTTTATTATAAAATCATATATAAATTTAAAAAATTGATTTTAAATTAAGGTCACAGCCTCTTCCTTATTAAAGAAAATAATTAGAGTTAATTACTATAATTAATATTTTAAAAAAATCTATTGCAATCTCATAAATTCATTTACCAATAAAATTCTGTTAGGTTTCATGTTAGAAATCATTCAAATGGTTCTGAAGATTAAAATGCTTAAAAAAATTTATTATAAAGCATTCACAACTTCGAATACTCGTTGTTTGGTATAAAACCACACACACAAATACCCAAAACCAATAAATTTCATAAATATTTTTATTCTTTTTACTGGTTTTGGGTATTTGTGTGTATAAAATTAATATTTCAGTTCTAAAAAAGGAATTGGATAATAAAATAAATAAGTCATTCTTTAGAATTCCGTTCTTTTTGTTCAATTTAAAATTGACAAAGCTTAAATAACTCTACAAAAGTATTTTTTTTAAATGTATGTTTATGATTATTTTTCATTAAAATATTGCTCTCATTAAAACTGTGTTTTTGCAATGTGCAGAACAATCACCATTTAATTAACTATTCAATTTCTAGAAAAAACTAAACAGAATTTCATTTGTAAATTGTAATCTATTAATTATTATTTCTTTGTTAATAATACTAATAATAATAATCAAATTACAACCCAACAATTTTTAAGCATAGTTTTTCAAAATTATATTTTACTTATTGAATCAGCTGATTGCTTAATAAAAATCGGTCAACTCTTAAATGAAACTTGAATATAAACACTTTCTATAACTATTTTCTAATCTTTCTAATTTTTTAAATATATTTTTTTCTTCTTCCAACATTTTAACTTGATTTCATCATCATCAAAAGTTTTATGCTCTTGGACAAACATACTGGATCATTGCTTAACAACACAAAAAAAAAAAAAAGACAAATAAAATATTAAATTTAAACCACAGACAAACAGCCACATTCACCATTATTGGTTTTTAAAATATATTTTACACTCTTTTTTCTATGTAAATCAAATAATATTATATATATATATATTTATCCATAATAAATAATAATAACTCATCAATTTAAACTTCTGATAAAGCTACTACATAAAAGCAAAAACTGGTTTTTGTCAGTGGTATCATGGTATGCCAAAAATGGCCACTAGGGACCCCCTAGCTATTATTTAAATTAACAATTCAGTATATTATTATTATTTTTTGTAATAGAAAATTATTATTGATATGAATTTATTATTTATACCATGGATTTAGTATGCCCCGATGCCTGCATCGGGCTATAATATAATATAATATAATAGAAAGATTAGAAGTACGAAATAATCTAATAATCTTAACCTTTGTTGTTATTTTTTGCCCAGGCAATGCTGGGCTTATCTGCTAGTATACATATAATTATAATATTCATAAATCTAAGTGAAAGCAGTAATATATATATAAACATCAACTCAAACTGAATGATAAACATTTTAAACAAATCAGTTCACTTTTTTAGTTTATTAAAATTTAAATGCCAAAGTTTAATATTATATACATAATAATAAATTGGACCTGATGATTAATTAATATTAAACCAAATATGCAACTGCCAGATTTTTTGTGTACTAATTTAAGTAACAGTATGCAGACGCATTACTAATTAGCTACTCAGACCTCCATTCAATGTTCACTCCCAGAACTTCAACTTTAACCTGTATGGTTTATATGGCTTTAATTAATATAGTTCTGGAAACTCAGATCAAATAAAGGTCTGGATAATGTAACTGATAATGCACCTGCACAGATGATGGCTCAACTCCTGCTCTAGGTCAATCTTTCCTGCCAGATTATTTCTAAATCATTTAATTTATTTATATTTAATTTCTTATTATTGATAATGATACAAGATGATTGTCTAACTGTCTACCTTCTTTTTAAATACAGTTTTCCCCTCAGATCATCTTATCCATCATGCATTCACCAGGTGCACAATAGGGATGGCTAAGAGAACAGGACCCAACATAGGCTACTCATAAAAAAAATCTGACGTCATTGACTTAAACTTAAACCTGGATCTATCAGAGCAACAAAATCATGCCTTTATTGCAATAGTTACCTAACAATCTAACCACCTAAGCAAAATTATGAAGTTAATTAATTAAACTATTGAATATTAGTTGTAACATATCCCAATAAATTCAACAAATAGGTATTTCTTTTAATCAAAAGGTGTCAATATGGAACAGAGGGGATATATCTTTCTCAACATTTTTGTACTAGAAAATTTTCTTCTTCCAAGCATATTTTTATTTTATACCATACTGCAAAAATTAAAAATAGAAATGTACACAAAATACACATCTTATTTTGTATAATCACTCAAAACCTTACAATGAGAAATTTTTCTTACTCATTGTCTTTGGCTTGTCCCCACAATATTTATACAAATTTATCCCAATGGATTAAATGTTATTTGTTTTAATTATAACAACGTCAAATTCATATTATCTAAAATTTTATTTCAAGTAATTTGTCTTAATTCTATCAAAAGAAAAAAATTCTTGAAATCTACTCTTTGAATATCATATAGTAATGCTATAAATATTCATTCCTTAACACAAATAAATAATCTTAAAACTTCAGTCCACTCCAGCACTAAATATTACATACAGCAAATGTGTTTTTGTTTAAACCAAAGTATTAACATCCATATTATTATAATTATAGTACTAAATGAAGATACAAAATATCAAAATTTCTTGAATTTTATTTTTTCATTAAATCAAATAAAACATTTCATCTGTTTCATTCTTTTATTAAAATGTTTAGTAAATAATAAGTTTTCATTTAATTTAATAACAGAAAACGTAATATAAAATTCATCGTATCATTTGAGAAGTGAACTTAATACAGTAAAACTAAATTTATATGTGAAATTCTAAATTAAATAAAAATTGAATATATAAACTATATATTTTTGTTGAGATAATCCTAAAATTAATTCATAAGATAAGATTGTTCTAATGCATTCACACCAGAGAAAAATATTTAAATATTTTCTACGACAAGAATGTATTTATTAAAGACAATTTAAATCAATTCAATAACTTATTTTATATTATAATCACCAAAATTGAATATACAAGAAATGATTTTTCTTTCTGTACAATTAATGGATAGACTTAAAATAATATAACATTTGTCAAATAATTTCAGAAAATCATATTACAATAAGAGTATTATAATAAAAACGATTGTTCATTATCTAATTATCAATTCTGTATAAATTAAATGATACTGATATACATAATATATATACAAATTTTATTACTGCATCTTTTTTTTATTAAAATAAATTTAAATTTGAAATTTCTTAACATTTCCATAATTAAATGAAAACAATAATTATTTTGTAATCTTTAGCAATATTTGCATAACAGTTTTTTGAGAATTTTACTTGTTCAGTTCTGAATATCTTTGGTAAATATGTCTCTAATTGAAATCTAATTAGTAGAACACACTATCAAACATCTCTATTTCAGTGTGTCCCAATAATTAAACACAGCAAATTATATTTTTAAAAGTATAAATGACTACTTAAATTAGTATGAATATAAAATATAGATTCAGATCTCATATGGATCCAAACAGTTTATCTTCTGTTTCTTTCTTTGAATTAATGTTAAATTATATTTGTTGAATTTTGAATATTGAAATTTTAAGAATGTATCGTAGATAACAAACATTAAATAAGAACTTTATTTAAATTAGATTTCATATGAAAACTGAAGTAATGGTTCTTATTTTTCAACAACTTTTTCAACAATGATCACAACATTAACCTTTCAGACTAAAGAATAAAATCATATATAAACTCATTCAATGAAAAAGTTGAGGCTTTATTATTGAATTACTTATATTTAAAATGTGTATATACATTTTATTTTGAAGGAATTGAACTAATTGAATGAGGATTAAAAAAACCCTCCAAAGTTAAAAAATTTAAGAGTTTATTTTAAAATTAAACTCTTAAAAAAATAAAATTTTAAATCATTTTTGATGTTAATAGCTTTGAGACTACAGAAATATCAATAGCACAATGCTAATAAACTATTAAGCAGTAAAAACAGTAATTTAATTTTGCAACTTTCTATGTAAGTGGGACCTGAAAAATGATATAATCAATTTCTTTCTACTGCAAAATTTGTATGCATAATATGTGTATTAAATACATAAATAAATATTACAGTATGATACAAAATAATTACAAATTATATCAATAAATGTATTTTTCATAGAATCTGATTAGTAGAAATAAAATTTTAAGTTCAAATAAATAAATATCTATCTATAAATTAATGCTAAGAATAAGCTGACTTCACCAATAAGTATAAAATTTATTCAAGAAAATCTAATTTTTTTCATAACAAAATATGAAATGGAACAGAAGCGTACAGAATCTTGCCCCATGACTATAATTACTCTCATAATTAAATTCAATTAAGATGAAAATAAAAAACAGACGAAAATACTAATATGATTTTAAAAACTAAATGAAATCTATTTAGTAGAATATTGAGAACAAATCACGTCAAACAGTACAATAAAAGACAGCAGGAAAAATAATTAAAATATGACTAAAATATGGTGAATATGGCCATTATTAATAAGGTCAAACATAAAAATACATATCCAGTAGAAGCTATTAAAAAACCCAAAGCAGGTATTTAATAATTAATAGCATTATGGATTGTTTTTTATGTTTATCAGCAATAAACAGTAAGAAAATATGAATTGTTTGAAATATAACTACAGGATATTTACCATCTGAATCATTTGGTGTTGATATAGTTGTTTGTTTAGAAAGTGGTATGTAATCTTTGTTACTTGGAATTATAACCTTAAGGAAAATTTAAATAGCATAAATATAAAATATATATTTCAAATATAAACTATTATAAATTTTAAAAATATTCTTTACCTTCTCTATGCCATTTGCTTTACAATCACCATTCTCTAGAATATGGTCCTTCTCTTTATTATGAATGTTGTTAATTTCATTTTGTTTATAAGTTATACATTCACAATTATTTGCTTTCAGGTTTTCTAATTGGAAATCTATGAAGAAAATAAGAAAAATATAATGCCATGTTAAAATTTTTAAAAATCTGAGAAAAATAAATAATTCTCACCATGTGCTTCATTTTCTATATCATTAGAAATATCTGATTGTTCTTTCATACCTTCTAATATTAAAAAAAACAATGTTAGTTAATTTTGATTAAAATATTGCTTCATAGGAGAGATTATTGTGAGTGATATTAAAAGTTTATAAATTTAAATGTAAAAAATCTATACATTTATTTTCAAAAACTATTTAATCATGTTTCTGTAATGTAATATAGAAAAAAACTGTAAATTTATGGATTTTTAGACTAACATACAAACAGATTTCTATTAAATTTATAATTCTGCTGTATAAAAATTGAATTTTTGCAGATTCTGCCAGTTGATTATGAAATGTTTATAAATCATATGTATTTTACCAGCGATAGCTTTGTTGCACACGGTACATCTTTTGGCAAACAATTCTCCAAAGCAGTCAGCGCAATAAGGTTTTTCTTCGTAAGTAGTGAAACGTTGGCCCGCTAGACACTTTTGACAATTAGTACAACGGAAACATTCTCTGTGCCACGGTTCATTGCGGTAAATCACTCCGCCGGTTGTTATTATCTGATTGCACTTATTACATCTGATAGAAAATTTTTGCTCGTAACAGATGGTGCAATAGATTACGTTGTCTCTCGGAACGAAACTCTTTGTTCCGATCGGATTATTGCAGACCGAGCAACAGAAACACTTCTCGTGCCAGTGCTTGCCTTTATATTCCATCTTTTTAGTGCCTTAAACATATCGTGATAGTTTGAAATTTTATAATATTATTACTTTACGCATTAAAGAATAAAACGTAACAAACCTGCTCGAAATACTTCGTTGCATTCATCACACCTACTGGAAAAACAATTATCGTAACACGAAGAACAGTAAACTTTGTTTCCTTTCGAACCAAAGGGTTTATTGATAAGTTGATCCTGACATTTGAAACACACGAAACAACTTTCGTGCCAATGTTTATCTTTATACGAAAGGTCCTATTGTAAATTAATGCAAATGTATTCAGAGATGTCGAAGTGATTGAAATAAGAAATTTCATAAAATTATACTTTTGAATCAACTCCGATTTTTCGTCCACATTCGTCACAAATATTCGAGTATGTTCTTTCGAAACAGCGGATACAATATGGATTTTCTTTTTTCATCACGTAGCGTTGACTAGTCAGGGATTCGTCACATTTCCAACAACAAAAATGAGTGATGTGCCAATCTTTGGACATAGCCTTGGTGTATTCTCTGGCAAAAATGAGCTGAAAAGAGATTGGAAGTTATGATTTTGTTGTACTGTATAGTATATGCAGATTTTTGTGATACTAACCTCATCACAAGCCGCACAACGAGGTTTAATTTCTTCTGCATAATGACGTTCACAATATAATTTTCGATCTTTTACACAGTACACGAGATCTACCAACAATTCATTGCATACGCAACAAACGAAACAAGATGGATGCCACATAACTCTTTCTCCAAATTTTGAAGTAATTATTGCAATGTCTCCTCTGATCAACGTTCCTCCACATTGAAAGCACTCCTAAGTAGTTAAGAAGATAAAATTGAACATACAGAATTGAGAATTTAATGTCAAATCTTCAATTTTATACCGTTGTTTGTTCTACAGCACTTTTTACGTTACCAATATCTAATGCCTTTTCGTTTCGATTATTAATAAATTCTTCATAATTAGTTTGATACTCGCGATCCAAAAATCGGCAATAATATAATGCGAAATCCTGTTTTGGAAGCTGAATCATCAGTTGTTGATCCCGATATTTTTCTCCAGGAGTTCCCAATCGAGGTACTTTATCAGCAGGAATTTGTAAGAAATAATCACGGATCTGCAAGAATAATTTTCAACTTTCATCAGAATTAGTTTAGGAAATACAGGGTGGTTATAATTAAAGTTGCGCTACTCAGACCTGTCTAGAGCCCGTTCTCGTGGTTTGATGAAACTTGATATATATGTTATATGGAGCATGGGGGAAAGGAAAATGCAAAAAAAATATATATATTTAGTTCGAATTTTTACCAACATTGTAAGGCGTTTTGAACATGTGATTGATGCAAATGGATTGCACATTAAACAAATGTGAATAAAAACCTTTTGCGTGTTTCCATTTTATGTTTCTTGTTCTTCATGCGCCATTTTTTCACCTAGTGGTAAAAATTCGAACTAAATATNTACTCTTAAATATACAAAATAGATAATTTAAAATATTTTTGATAATTAAATTGTGCAAAACTATAAACAATATAATCAGCTATTGAGTAAATCTGTATAAGTTGAATAATTTTGTATCATTCAAGTATAGGTGAATGTATGCCTAGTAAATGGTGCACATTGAAAAAACTGACTAATATAACAACACTCAGAACATATCAATAATAAACATGTGACCCAATTTTAGATTTACGATTCCCTAGATAAGCCTTGAGAAGTCCTTTCATGTAAATTTATAGATTGTAAAGTTATATAACATGATACTTGATATACAAATGTTCTAGCTAGTACTGGATTCTAAGTATGAAGCTAAAACTGAATATGAATAAAGTCTCACATGTGTGCAGATAAGAACATATCTGCACACATGTGAGACTTTAAAAGCACCAAGTCCTAAGCAAAAATTAGGCTATGAATACAACAGTCATTGCTAAGATCAACACCAATATTAGTCAAATCTAGAATAAATCAGCAGATAGGAAAGGCATGTATTATTAATACAAAAGATTTAAAATCACTTAATTAATATCAATGTAAAGCAATGAATCTACTTAAGATGACAAAATATTCAAATCATTAGTAAGTTTTGTAACCAATCAACAGTAAAACTATAAAATCTTTATTACAGAATTAATGTTTAGTTAATTATCAATCACTATAGTCTGTCTATAGAAGAAATCAACTTAACAGCAATGTCATATGCAATATTGTTTCAGTTAAACCAATCAGCACATTCCCTAATGATGCTGGCACTTTTCACTTAATATGTCAAACAATATGTGAATTTTATTTTATTTTCTCTCACTAGATGAAAGAACTACTTTTCCATTAATTATGTTAATATTTTATAGTATTCATTAACTGTAAAGAATCATGCATTTAACTACTACTATAGCAAACTTCCTTTATTTCAATACCAGAATACGAAACTTCCATAACACTATTTATAATGGAGGCGATGCATTTAACAAATAAGGAAGAAACTGGAAGCAACTTGCCACAACTAAGTGATCAATGGCTGATGCTTGTTGGTTAATACCAAGTTGATTCTTTCCACAGACAGACTATAATCAACTTCTTTCTCAGCAGAAATAACACTAACTGCAAGCATTTTCTGAAAACTGATATATATTTTTTTAATATCCAATTTTCTTCACTATTTTTAATTATTCCTCTTGCTGCTCTCAGAGCTTATATCTCTTTCTGTATTAATTAAAATATATGTTATAATTAAAAAGAATAATAATATAATTTAACTGATTAGTTAATANATGATCTCTACAATGACACCCTTGCCCGTCATTTCCAACAGGTGTTGAAGAAGAGAGAGAAACAGACTACCTTGGACATGTTTTTCAAGAAGCAATCTGCCAAAAAACAAAGGATGGAACAAGAGGAGATGACCCTGCAAGCTCCAGAAGCCTCTCCTGAATCTAACTCCAATTAAAAAGCAATAAAAAGAGACCTGCTGCAATGTGTAAAAAGTCTGTATCTGTATGAATGTGTAAAGAAAGTGTTCCTCCACCTCCTCCACACATCATCTGACTACCCAGCATAATTGGTGACTGCTCCATTTTCATTTTTTTTTTTTAACGGTACAGTACAGTCATTTTATGCTGTGGAACGAATTATATGTTTTAACATGCATTTCTATGGGAAAATGCATTTCGTATAACGGACTTTTCACTTAACGGACGTGCACCTGGAACGGATTAAGTACGTTATATGAGGCACCACTGTATTTTTATATTTCAATTTTATTTTTCTATATAAATACAGAATAAATTATCTAAACCAACTGGAAAATAACTAGTTATGATGAAAAATTTTTGATGTTATAATAATGACATTATTCCTCCTGCATAAAATACTGAACATTAAGATGTACTCTTAAATATACAAAATAGATAATTTAAAATATTTTTGATAATTAAATTGTGCAAAACTATAAACAATATAATCAGCTATTGAGTAAATCTGTATAAGTTGAATAATTTTGTATCATTCAAGTATAGGTGAATGTATGCCTAGTAAATGGTGCACATTGAAAAAACTGACTAATATAACAACACTCAGAACATATCAATAATAAACATGTGACCCAATTTTAGATTTACGATTCCCTAGATAAGCCTTGAGAAGTCCTTTCATGTAAATTTATAGATTGTAAAGTTATATAACATGATACTTGATATACAAATGTTCTAGCTAGTACTGGATTCTAAGTATGAAGCTAAAACTGAATATGAATAAAGTCTCACATGTGTGCAGATAAGAACATATCTGCACACATGTGAGACTTTAAAAGCACCAAGTCCTAAGCAAAAATTAGGCTATGAATACAACAGTCATTGCTAAGATCAACACCAATATTAGTCAAATCTAGAATAAATCAGCAGATAGGAAAGGCATGTATTATTAATACAAAAGATTTAAAATCACTTAATTAATATCAATGTAAAGCAATGAATCTACTTAAGATGACAAAATATTCAAATCATTAGTAAGTTTTATAACCAATCAACAGTAAAACTATAAAATCTTTATTACAGAATTAATGTTTAGTTAATTATCAATCACTATAGTCTGTCTATAGAAGAAATCAACTTAACAGCAATGTCATATGCAATATTGTTTCAGTTAAACCAATCAGCACATTCCCTAATGATGCTGGCACTTTTCACTTAATATGTCAAACAATATGTGAATTTTATTTTATTTTCTCTCACTAGATGAAAGAACTACTTTTCCATTAATTATGTTAATATTTTATAGTATTCATTAACTGTAAAGAATCATGCATTTAACTACTACTATAGCAAACTTCCTTTATTTCAATACCAGAATACG